AATTCCCTACTCTTACCCCTCAAGATTACTTTCAGAGTTTTACAAGATAAAGTACATGACAAAAATGTTGCTATTTTCTACATATATGAAGGCTCCTACCTTTTTTGTTTTTGTTATCAAATCCTGACATCTGTTGAAAGAAAATATTTTACCTTTATTCAACTGTTCAGTTACAATTAACAGACCAAGGCAGATTATAACAACTAAACAATCCTACCAGTGATTTGTAGAGACCGGATTCAGGGTTGATTTTGAGGAGTTCTAATAGATCTTGCATAGTAAATACCTTAAGGAAAAAAAAATTGAGTAGACATTTTACACTGATGTTTAAGCGATAAATTAGGATGTTCCTAAAGTTTAAGAATCACACTAACGATGTAAAACTGAAGCGCTTTCTTATACTGTTGATAACATATTCAAGTCACGAGGATAAAATATTTTTCCCCATCACAGAATTAACCTCCAAATACTTCACAAAGATAATGGGTCTAACAAATGGTTAATGCCTGACAGATTACACTCAAATATCTGATGAACCAACGAATACATGTGTGAATCCCAGGGTCTTTCAATGGTAATCAAGTTTTTAAAATACTACTGGTTCAAAATACCAAGTTTTACCGTCTTTACAACCATGACTGACAAAAGCCTATCTAAAATAGTTTTAAACATTTTGGGTGGCTATTCTTAGTCTGTATTTCTACTACAACACGCATCATGTACTAGGACTTCCCTCGGAACACTGACAGGGTTTTCCTTTCAGGAAAATATTCTGCACAGCATTTTATAGTAAACACCTTTAAGTATATGAGCAGGTTAACTATTGCCGGAACAGCTATGTAACTGCCTATTACTCATGCAACATGCCCAACTGGGTCATGTAATTAGAAACTTCAGGGCACCTGGCTGGCTCAGTCGGTAGAACACGTGACACTTGTTCTCGGGGTCTTGAGTTCAAGCCCCACGTTAGGCACAGAGCTTCCTTTAAACAAACAACAGGGGCTCCTGAGTGGCTCGGTCTGTTAAGCATCTGACTTCGGCTCAGGTCATGAGGTCACAGGGCCTGGGTTCAAGCCCCGTGTCAGGCTTTGCGCTGACGGCCCGGAGTGTGCTAGGGGTTCTCGATCTTCCTCTGTCCCTCCCCAGCTTGTGTGTGCACGCGTGCTCTCTCATGCTCTCTCAGATATAAACTTTAAAAAGTAACAAAAAAGCTTAAAGATTGAGGGACCCAAAAAGAACTCCTAATGTTAATAAAATTTGGTCGTTAATAAAGCATATTAAGATTCTCAAATACTAACACTGTTCTTATTTTGTTAAAACCTCTTAATAGGAAGCTTTTGGACAATTATCGACAAGATCAGGAGTAAAAACACAGAGACAACACCAACCGTTAAACTATGGACTTCAGTGAAGATGTGACCATGTAGGTCCCACTGTGGAAATGTATCTAATTATGTTGCTAGTAGGGCAGGCTGTGCACGAGTGGGAGCAAGGAGCACATAGGGTACCTTCCTTTCTGCTCAATTTTGCTCTGAACCTCAACTGCTCTAAAAAAATTAAGTCTATTAAAAAAAATAGGCAGTTTGCTGTATCAACCCTTAAAATCAAGCAGGGCTAGATTTCTCTACCATTCCCATTGAACAGAAAGTCATCAGGAAAGTGGTAAAAACAGGTGTTTTAGTATTTGAGCATGCCACAGATTTTTATAAATGATTGTACCCTTCACTTCTCTAGTGTAATCCCAAGGAATCTAAGTATCTGAAGAGACTTAGTAAAAAGAGCATGTTTTAGAGATCTAGATTTACTGCCCAGCATCATTATTTACAAATCATATGACCTTGAACAAACTACTTCACCTCTCCAGAGGCTGGTTCCTCCTCCACAATGCAGAGGATACCTGTGGTGTCGCCACGACAGTGACAAGCTTCCAACCGTCAACATAAATGGCAACTCTGCATCTTAGACTACACAGATCGGGAGACCAATTCTAGCTCCAAAACTTAGTGACTGCGCATCATGATTTTACCCAAGACTAACGGAGCTTCCATGGAATTGGTAACGATATACCATCAAGTTTAGTACTCCTTTGCTCCTTTACAGAATGTAGGACGGGAACTCAAAGATGAGGGAGAAATGGACGTAGCTAGCCAAGGAACACTCGGCTATTAGGCAGCACTTACTATTACCTAGAAAGAAGCTATTAACAGAAAATTCAAAAACAGAAGACTCAACACTTTACCTTTTCTTTGGCCACACCAGTTTCCGGAAAGAAAACAGAAAGCGAATACTCATAGCCACATCTCTTCAAGTGATCTGCCACCAGAGAGTTAGAGGTGCCTATCAGGAGGGCACTCCCTTCCACTGGAACGGACTGGGGCTGCACCTCTCCGTTCACGACAGGGTGCATCAATTCGTGAATCAGCTGCTTCCGGAGTTGTGTCTAGCTCAAACAACCAAAACCAAACAGGAGGGAAAACGTTTTGAGCAGAATCGCTCAACCGGAGTTATACAGGATTGACCCATGCATTAGAGTCCTCATTTCCAGTATGGTTCTAGGTCCAGGACCCAAAGTCAGGAGCCTTCCCCTGTACATGGTCTTACCCTGTGACATAAGTAGCCCACGGGGTTCTGAAAAAGAAACTTGTTTCACAGCTTCTGAGCTCAACGGGTGGTCAGCCAAACGCAGGCAGATTCTAACTTCACTTCCCCAGGAGCCCATCTCAGCATTTTTTAAAATCAGGCTATCAAGTAGAGGAGACAATTCTGCCCATTTCTCACCTCTGTGGACTGTTGGAACGTACGAAAATATCGGGCATATTGGTTAGTTAAAATAAAGTTGAGTTCCCATAAGGGAAATCACATATGCAAGGGAAATGAGTCAACCCCAAAACTTATTAAGATGTACTTTCGCATCGAGTATTTACATCTCAAGACACTCAAGTACAGGAATTCTCACTTTGTAAGTGAGAAAATTAGGGTTCAAAAGTAGGTCAGTTTCTCAAGGTTTTAACACTAACGTTATTCATTTGGGCTTTAACAAAATTCCCTAAGTTACTCAGACTACTGGTATTTGTTCTCCTGTTTTGCATATCATCTGGAAACCTACAATTGGACTGAGCTTAAGAGTATGCTGGCTGGGGGGGGG